AAAATGGTTTAGGGGTCTGCAAGCAAAAAAGAGGTTGAAAAAACATCACCGTCCTAAAACATGATATTTGGTAGCTTTCATCTTCACACACAGAACTGCAAGTTGTTATTAGCCAAAGTTATTTTAAAAAGTTTAGCTGCATTAGTGTCACTGCCTTTGTGAAGTAACTACGGATCATCCAAGTTACAGGAGTTCATTTCTTTTCAGTCAACTTTGCATGTCAAAATTTTTTCAGGGGTAGAAAGCCATTAAAACTCTGCAGCCTTTAACCTGATGACTTGTTAAGCCAACAGCCTCAGAAGTTCTCAAAGCACTGGAACAGGCTACTTACTGTGGAGCTGACCAATTAGCTCCTCAGTAAACTGTCACCATCTACATGTGCAATGTTATTAGGCTGGAGTAAACTAATTAACTCCACTGTAGGATAGTATGTACCTGGCAGTACTATCTTATGGCAGAGTTATTTACCTTGGCACAACACATATGTAGACACTAGTAGGGCTCACTGCAGCACAAGGGTGCTTCATGCCCAAGCCAGCCCCTCTGCTACATGCCGAGTCAGGTCGGAGCAGCCCCAGACTGGCAGGCTGACCCTTGGGACCTCCTGCTGGGGCTGCTCCGTCCCATCTCAATGGGCTACGGTCTTAGGCGCATGTGCAAACGCTGTGCCCAGGAGCAATAAATTCCAGTGTAAACTACACTGGAGTTAATTGTATCATATTAATAGAACATGTAAATATGTCCCCTTAGCAGTTTTTAAGACCTGGGTAGACAGCCTTGGCTGAGATGATATAGCTAGGGATGGTTCTGCTTTGAGCAGGGGGTTGGACTAAATGACCTCCTGAGGTCCCTTCCAACCCTAATGTTCTATAATCCCATATGCCATCATGAAAGTTTAAAGGTAAATATTTTGAAGGGAAAAAGTGGTGATTGTAACTATTCCTTCAGTTCACCATTGCCTGTGTAAGCAGCTGACAGGATTCAGTGACCCAGGAGGCACCCTCCAGATCTCTAGTTTTAAAGAGGCCTATAACAACAAGTGTTTACAAGTACACTTTTTGACTTTAAAATACATAGGTTTTTAAACAATAGCTGAAAATGAATTTCTTTACTTGCATACTAGGAGTCAAGTTTCCCCTCAGTATCAGTAACATTACCAGTGGCCAGAACAGATTAAGCAATGGAGCTCTCCCCTAGCTCAACACTGGATAGCAACAATGGTACCAATTACAACAGAAGAAACATAACTATAGCCAAAAGGTTATGGCCCTTAAGTACATAAAACATATACAGTGAATCCTCCCTCTTACAAATTTTGGAAATGCAAGGATTTTTTTTTGGGGGGGGGGGAGGGGGAGGGAATAACTTTTATTGCAGTTGGTCCAATAAAAAAAAACAGTTATGACCCCAAAAATCCTTGCTTCTCACCTAGTTCCATCACAGCTAAAACATCACTAACAATACCACAATTTGGGGAGTAAAGTAGGTTATTTCTACATTAAAAACACTGCCAATAGTTTGTACTGTATTTAACTTTAAAGATAACGTTTTTCCATTAATGGGAAAAAGACCCCTACAAAAACCAAAAAACTTCCTATTTACAGCAAGGATCACAATTACAAGGACAGCATACCTGCAGTAGGATCTTTGGCTAAGGCATTATCCAAGGCACTTGTTACAGACTGGAAGAGATTCATTTTCTGAGTTTGTCCTGTGTGGGGAAGAGGGGGAAAAAAAGCCCATTTAATTTATGGGGAGGGAACAATGAGACAACACTTATAAGATCTCCTATGAGATAACAGCCACTGACTGAGACGTAATTCTTCATATTTTCTTTATAGCAAGGACACATTTACACATAATAACTTTAACGTAGTGGGAAACAGGTCAGCACACCTTGTATTTACTGGGATAACAATACAGATAACTAACATATCACATCTCTTTCAGAAGTTAAACTCATGGCTGCAACACATGCCGTAACATCCTTCAGACACAATAAGGAATACTATGAGCAAAAGACTGCAACATCACAAGTCAGAACCTACAAGTTATAACACAATTACCTTTCCTGCAAGGCAGTGGTTTTCAACCTTTCTAAACAAAAGGCACCCGTGATAGACAAGACACCCTTCACAAAATAACCCTTCAGCTCTTAGCTTTTCCTTTTATTTTTTTTTACTACAAAAAATAATAGAGCAAATTTTCTATTGCAAAGACCACAACAGGTCAGAGGATTTTTTTTGTTTGTTTGTCGGGGGGGGGGAGGGGGGTTAAGACTATGGACTCCTATATGAAATCTCAGTTTATCATGTGAATGTTTGCATACCTAACAGTGCTAACATTGTGTAGCACCCTGTACCACCCTTGAAAGGACCTCCAGACACCCTGGTTGAGAACCACTGCCCTAAAGGAACAAACTTCAAATAAAGCACTGCAATGTTACTAACCTTGTTAAATGTCACCAGTTCACGTCCAAGTTGCAGCAAACATCCATCACTACCATTTAGCCCATAGTAAACTACCATTTGGCCCAGAATCTTACTGTCTGTAGAACTGCAAGATTGACCTACTAGACTTCTGGGAACGAACAGTAGGGAAAATAGTCAAGAGTGGAGCAGAGTGGGAAAATATTTTAATGCTTGGCTGCTTTTATTGGGATTTGCCACATTGTAACCATTTTCTTCCCCCCACACCCCCAACCTTTTTTTTTAAAGCTTTAAACCTTACCATTTATTACCCGTTTCCCTACCTCATCTCAGCATGCTGAGGAGGACAGATATTCCTGATGTAGCACAAAAACAATTAGCTAGTAGACATATCAGCTTCTAATAGGACCAAGCCAGCTTCCATAAGCTAGGCAGAATTGTGCCCTATTTGTAGCTGAATAGGAAGCCTACCAAGCTGGCTGACAATATGAGGTGGCAATTTTTCAGTTGGAAGCGCTCTTTCAACTCATGACAAAAACCAGGGTCCCAAGGTGAACCTGTCCTTAGAATCAGACATAGGTTGAAGCTCTTGTGAAAGCAGGAATTTGATTTCTTACTTGGAATTAAATCATGATGCCAAGCTTCCATCCATCTCAAACTTTGAACAGATACAGCTTTTACCTTCATCATGCTGTTACAAAGTGTTGCCAGAAACCGGTTATTTCAACCCTGAGTTGGGCTGCACTGATCTTATGCATCCCAGGGTTTCAAAGTTTTATTAGTTGCTATTTGTCATCTGGTATAGGATCCTTTAAGAGATGCTACAAGAAGCACAAGGAATAATTCAAAAGGAATAGTTAGAATGATATGAAACATGTAAAAATTAACTAACTTAAGTTAAAGGAAGGAAAAAGAAAAATCTAAAAAATCATCTTTGGCTCCTCTGCCTTTGGTTTTTTATTAAACTATTCTGACAACCCAAGCTTTCCAGAATTTGGAGTTAAACTTCTGAAACTCACCTAACATCTGATGGTATTTATAGATATGCCCGAGGGGGGGGCGGCAGCTTGAACAAGCTTTAGCTGAAAGCACCCCTGCTGCCATTTTTCAGCACAGAGATGCTGATTCATGTGATGCTGGAGTCTGCTCCGATGCTCTGTAATTGGAGCAGCCTCACTGCATGTGTATAGGCACCCTGAATTATCCCCAAAGTCTTGCTAGCTTAGTATAGTAGTGATTGCTTTGATCTGTTCCCAAATTTTGTATTTTGAGGCTTCTTTTTGAATTCCTGGGAGAGAGGGAACTAAAGAAATACAAACTATCACATCGCGATAGTCAACAGCACCATTTCTGCCAAGACTTTCACTGGCTTGAATGTCAACTCACATTGAACATTTCCTTGATACTGAACATGCACAAGTCTTCTTGCTATCTTAAAAAAAAAAAGAAAAAGGCTACAATGTGGGAAATCCCAGTAAAGGCAGCCCTGTATCCTTATTGATTCCCCCCCTTCCTATCTAATGAGCCTGGCACACACAGCAATAAGTACAGGCTTACCCCTACCAGCCCTAAAACCTGAAGTGGGCACATAGGCTGAGGGTCCTGAGCAGCCTCACGTTTACCGACGTCCTTGGGAGTTGGGAACTTTCCTCGAAGGTGGGGGGGCAAGAGCTAGCAGCAAAGTAAGCAGCATTGGCAACACAGAGGGGCTGCCCGTGCCC